AATGAAAAGAAAGGCTGGGTGTGGAAGCACTTTCATATTTTGTAAATTTTATTTTCTTATTAGTTAGTATTCAATAATGTAAGTTACTTTAATTACTGAGGAAATTCAAGAGAATGAACTTTGTATTCCTAACATAGTCCTTAAAATTCAATTACTATTCAGTAAATACTGCCAAACATTTCTGCTTTCTGCTAAATCTAGACCAGCTTCATTATCTTGGAACTAAATTTAACAACAGACAGTGTAATACTTAATTCTGAACAACTGTTACCAAGGATATAATCTATAAATCTTTCAGACAGTTTAGTTTAATAGCTCTGAAGCAAAGCCTGTCAATGAACAACAGCAAGGTGAACTATTTTATTCACCTAATGCCATTTATCTCAGCAAACTTTATTTGATTATCATATGTCACTGAAGTTACGTAAACAATATAGAAGAGATGCTCATTGGAAAACTCACAGGGCTGCAGGCATGGATCAAGTGGTTGGGCGCTTAGGACCAGCAAGGTCCTAAGTTCAAACCTCAGAACCATTAAAACAAACAAACAAACAAAGGCAATATTGCCTGTTGTGGTGGCACATGTATCTGTAATACTAGCTACTTGGGAGGCAGAGACTGGGAGAATCAAGGTTCAAGGCCAACCTGGGAGAAAGTGAGTGAGATTCCATCTCAACAAAAAAGCCAGGCCTGGTGGTACACAAGTACCTGTGGCTGCAGCCAAAGAAGGGCACATTTAGGAGGACTGCAGTTCAAGGCCCTCATGAGAAAAAAACATGAGACTCTATCTGAAAAATAACTAAAGAAAAAAGGGCTGGAGGAGTAGCTAAAGCAATAGCGCCTGCCTCATATATGCGAGGCCCTCAACTCAAGCCTCAATACCACCAAAAGAAAAAGAAAAAAAACTTACAGTAGCCTGTATTTTATGTATAATAAGGAAATGAAATATGAACAAATGCTTGTAAGTTATGGAAAAAGTTATCACAGCCAGGTATGGATGTTGCACACCTAGAAAGCTAGCATTTGAAAGGCTAAGGCAAGAGAATCATGAATTCTGGTTAAGCCTGGACTACAGAGCAAGAGCCTATCTAAATAAATAAATAAATAAATAAATAAATAAAAAAAATAAAAAATAAAAATAAAGAAAAAAATCACCAATCAATGAACAGCAAAAAGTATTAGACAAATGCCAAGTAGAAAAATTCAGTTACATTCCACCTTATTAGAATTTGCTCCTATTGTGTGAAAGAAGTAGTATAAAGAAATACCAATGAATTAAAAATGGGGTTAATCATTTAATACTTGATAATACTTGTGTAAAAAAAAAAGAAATGAAAATGTTCCTTTTCATTACAGTGAAGTTATTGGTAAAGTTAGTCTTAGATAACTAACATGATACTATGCCTTACGACTTATGACACATTATATTATCTAGCTGAATATTAATTGCTGACTAGCTCAAAAATCTTCCCAAGGAATGGAGATAATCCCCAGGACAAATTCAAAATGCCATTTTGTTTAAGATGGCAAGGTCTCACTCAGGGTCATTGTCTTATGTGGAGTAGAGCCCCCATTCCACTTAATCATGGAAATGCTTTGAGCTATTACATGATTAGGAAATACTAACAAATGTCCCAAAGGTATGTGTGTGTGTGTGTGTGTGTGTGTGTATATATATATATATATATATATTCCAAGACTTCCACTGGATGCCTGAAACTGTGGATGCATTCAGTTATATATATAAAATATATGATACAAAATATACATATATTCATATATATGCATTATTTTCTCTTATACATACATCTTTATGATAAAGTTGAATTTATAAATTAGCAGTATCTGATAACAGAATAGTTAATAGTTAATATACTGTAATAAAACTCAGCATCACAATCTTGTGCGTTGTGGCAATTATTAAGCAAAAGAGTTCCTTGAACACAAGCACTGTGATGTAACAGTCAATCTGTTATAATGGAGATGGCTACTAAGTGATTTAATGGGTGGGTAGTGTATATAGCATACATAGGTTGGTCACAAAGATGATTTATGTCTGAGATAGGATAGTTATGAAGTGTTTCATTCAGGAATTTTCCATTTAATAATTTTGAACTGTAGTTGACCATGGGTAACTGAAACTAGGGAAAGCAAATCCCCAGACAAGCTGGTGGAAGTACTACACAGATGTGATGCTACATCTCTCCACTGATTAATGGCTTCAATTTATCTGCCAATTCTACATTATATTTAAATACATGCTCTATATTAAATCTCAAGCAAAGAATAGTGGCTATCTTCAGGTGCTATGAACCTTGCTGTAAAGAAACACAATTTAAAGTACTTCATATTTCTGCATAAGTTTTTTGTTTTTGGTTTTGCTCTTTTGAGACAGGGTCTGCCTATGTAGACCAGGCTGACCTCCAATTTGTGATTCTCGTTTCAGTCTCTAGAGTGCTCAGATTCCAGGTATGTGTCACCATTCCCAGCTTCTACACAAGTTTTTATATTATGATTATTAATCACTATTAATAGCTAAAAAGAAAATATTTTATACTTATATGATTTTAAGAGATAGCATGAATTTCTAAATTTGATTTTCTTGGCCCAGGATTTACTTTAAAGTTTACAAGATGACAAAAGAGAAATATTATTTTATAACAAACGCATGAATTTTTCAAAAATACATAAATAACATCTCAGGTTATATTATTTATTATTTATTATGAATATTATTTATTCATTCCACAACTATCTTCTAAGAGATTAATGTATCTTAGATATCATGGAAACAACAACAACAACAACAAAAACCATTAAAACCTGCCCTTAAGGAGTTCCCAGGGCAAAGATACTGCAGTATTGAATTCTAGGTGTACAACACATATATGCATGTTATGTAACAGGAAAAGATAGAAAGGGATCCAATGGAGAGTGGGAAGACATAGTCAGATAAGGTTTCCTGGGAGAGGTAAATTTTAAGGACAAGTTGGAGTGGGTAAGGTAAGGAACTGGGGAGGCTAGCAGCCCCGGTAAAGAAGATTGTCATAAAATATGCTAAAAGTTTTGAACAGTTTTCAGTTTGTACAGAGTCAGTGAAGGGTTTCAGAGGGGTAATGCGCAGACTGACATTTTAAAAGAATACTCTAATGGCAATATGAAAAAATTAATGGGATTGAAGAAAACAAAGTGGAGACAAGGACTCAGACTCAGGGCACTCTAGATGAAAAATGAGAGCCTGAATTTAAGTCGGCAGCAGGAATGGAAAGAACAAGAGAAGGTACACATGGAGGGTGAGAGATATTTAGGAAGAGAAATGATGGGATTGAGGCCACATATAACAGAGATGGGGAAAAAAGTCTGACATTCAAGTTCTGGCTAGAGTTAATAAAGAGAATGCAGGTGCCCACCTCATCAAGGGACAAGGAGAAAGGGACAGGGCAGCTGTGAACATTCTTAGGTTGGGGAGGAAATGATAAATAGGCATGTAGAAACACAGCCTAGAATATTTGATTAAAATCAGATTGTAGATATAGTCCTTATTGTTTTAGGTGGTTTTTGAAACTACTGGTTTCACTTCATAAATGTGCCTAGCAATGCTTCTGAGAGATAGCCCACTTAATAGGCTTGTTTACAATGCATTTTTATGCTTAGCCAACACTTAATGACTTAAAACTCTTTAGAATTAGTTGTAGAAATCTATGTTTAGTTTCTCAGGTCACTCTTTACATATTAAAACTTAAAAATCATTGGTATACAAATGGAATTACTTTATTACAGTAGCTCAAAAGAAAAGAATGCTAATGACAGAACTGTACAGACATAAATAATGAAGGAAATGATTCTGGAGTTTTATTTAACAAATTAATAGTGGTGATCAATAGATATTGAAATAAGAATTTTAAGTTGTCTTCGGACCAAAAGATTATATAAACATTTTCAAAGGTGGCATTCTATTTTGATACGGATGACAAATATTTCTTGGCCAGGTCTTGTGGCTCATGCCTGTAACACCAAGTATACAAGAGGCAGAGATCAGGATTGTGGTTCAAGGCCAGCCCAGGAAAAAGTTAGAGCAATCCCATTTCAAGAAACAAGCTGGGTGTGGTCCTAGCTAGGTGGAAGGCCACAGAGATAAAGATGTGGTTCAGGCATGTCTCTGGCAAAAACATGAGACCCCACCTAAACAATAACCTAAAACAAAAAGAGCTGGAGATGTGGATCAAGTGACAGAGTGCTTGCACAAATCCTGAATTAAACCCACGTACCAACAAAAATGTTTTTTTCTTGCTTAAAATAGACAAGTAAAGCCTCAAAATAATTGGAATACAGTAACTATTTACCTTACTATATTTTAATGCATTTTTGTTAAAATTCAGCATTTGCCTTTCTCTTTAAAAATATTTTAAAATGTCAAGTATCAAGTGTATAATGAGAGTCCAATCCAAGCATCTACAGGATGGCTGACTTAAGAATCACAAGCTTAGGAAAATTTTCCTAAGATAGTTATGTCATAAAGAAATAAGAACAAAACAAAACCTTTAAAAGATACAGTATATTCTTGAATCTTTAACTTCATTTTGTGGATTTCATGGTTAGAAATAGCTTTTATATAAAGACAACTAACAAAACTCATACCATAATTCTTAGGTATTTAATTGTACTACTATAATTTTATACTTGAATGACTTCAGCAAAAATTACTGTTAAAACCAGCACTGTGGATTCCAACATCCAATCACATGCAAATCAGTTACATTTCTAAAAGAGACATTCTGTAAGCTGACTTAAGTAGCCTGATTTTTAAATAGAAATTTCTACTTTCCCTTTTTGATTTATAGGCACTGGATGCTTAAAATACAAAATGTCACGGGATAATAATTACTGCAGCAACTGCTGCACAAAAAACCACAAAGGTTTATTAACAAAACATTTTGTTTTATATTAAAATACAAAAAGGCACCTGTGTTATCAGAAGCATAAGACATTTCTTGCATTACCATGAGCTCGAAGTAAAGCTTCAGCAGTAAACAGAGGAGCCTGAAGCATGTCTGCAGTTTCCACAATAAGCATGTCTTTTAATCTGCGAAGATCCTGGGGCCTTAATCCTTCATATGGCTTTCAAAAGAAGAAAAATAAAGTTAAATTGGCTACTATATTCTAGGGAAGTATCAGAATACTTATGAACAAATATATATGATTAGCAGTTATTTAATTTTCTAGTTTCAATTTTGATTATGGAAGTGTAAAGGGTTTTTTAGGCTCGACTTCTAATCTGTCCTTTCACAAGTAACTTTTATGCTAGAAAATAGATGAGAGGAAATATGTACCTTGTAATTCTAAAAGTAAAAGTATCAGTTTTAAAAATGTGGATGATATGAAAAGTATTAGAAATGAAATAACCACACCATTTAACAATAATCATTATTACAGTTCTGATTTTTATTCAATCTGGTATTTTTTGCAAATCAACTGTGTGTGAATATATGTGTGCTCACTTAGGCACAGTTTCAGCAGATTTTTTTTTTTTGTTTTTTGGTTTTTTGGCAGTATTGGGGTTTTGAACTCAGGGTCTCTTGCTTCCTAGGCAAGTACTCTACCACTTGAGCTACGCTTTCAGCCCTTTTTTCTTTAGTTATTTTTCAGATAGGTTCTTGTACTTTTACCCAAGCCAACCTCAGACTGTGACCCTCTTAATTCCACTTTCTGCTTAGTTAGGATTATAGGCATGTGTCAACTTGCTTAAATAGGATCTCACTAACTTCTTGCCTAGGTTGGCCTTGAACCGTGATCCTCCCATTTTCACACCTGAGTGGCCAGGATTACAGTTGTGCGTCACTGCACCTAGCCTCAGTTTTAGTCATTGAACTAGTTTACTGCAGTGAATACAGAACTAAAGATCATAGCTTTAAGAGCAGTAGAAATCACCAAATACTTATTAAATAAACAACCAATGAGAATGTCCTCTGGCAGCAATTCTTATAGTTCTCATAGCACTCTGGAAAGTTAACAAATATAAGGAAGTAATAGGACAACCCCATGTTACAATAATTCAGTAGTCATTCAAAATGATTTTCATGATGAGAAATTAAAAAACCCTACTGGATATAAAATACATAGTATCATCACAATGATATAATATATGCAAAGAGAAAAATGAAAGGTAATCCTATAAAATGCTATAAGGATTTACTTGAAAGTGGTAGAATTATAAATATTTAAAGATTTCATTCTGCTTCTTTTTATAAAGCATGTGTTTTGCAAGAAAAATATCTTGAAAATAAAAGAAAAGCCATTTGGATGCTAAAGAGCTGCCAGCAGTGGCAATGTATACAATCAGTCTACAGTGGTCTTCCTTTTAAGAAATTATGGTGCAAAACCTGACACTGTGACTCATACCTCTAATCCCAGCTACTCAGAAGAATCATGGTTCAAGGCCAGCCCAGGCAAAAAGTAAGTGAGATTCCTTCTCAACCAATAGCAGGGTATGGTGGCACATGCCTGTTATTTTAGCTACGTCATTCAAAAATAGGAAGATCACTGTCCAGGCTGGCCTGAACAAAAAGCAAAACCTATCCCCAAAATAGCTAAAGAAAAGGGCAAACATGAGGCCTTAAGTTCAACTCCCAACATCAACCCCCTCCAAAAAAAAATTACAGTACAGACCATGTTAAATTCATTTTCTATCACATGGCATTAACAGCCAACTTCACCTATGTATCTACTCAGCTATACTGCCATGAATGTCTATATATACAGGTATTTCATGAGCTTATCTAAAAAGAAATGGAATATTTATTCAAACTATCCCACATAGGGATATCACTAAATAAAGAAACAATGCAATTTAATCCTAATTAACCTTAGAAAAAGCCCCAACCCATAATGCACAGTTTGGTTTAAACTAATTATGAAGCAGACTTTCCCCTGCAAAAACCTAGTAAACCCTTTAATGGTTAACTCTGTAGTACTCATTCTAGTATAGAATTAGCAATTCTATAGAATGCCATTTGCTTCTAGAAAATGTTCCAAGTTAAGGCTTGGGATTTTAGGTACTTCTCTTCTCTTGATACATCTCCATGCTTCAGCAATGAGAGTATTTCTTGACATTCCCAATAGTAGCAATTGAATATTTCCTGGACTTATTTCCTACATGTTCCTTTTCAGATTAACCATCATTTATTCATAGTAGGTCAACTAAGTAGAGAGAAAATAGTGAATTTAATTCTGACTCTACAGTAACCCAGAAACTGACAGTGTAATTAATGAGTGGAAAAAAATTAGCTTTCCATGCAATTCTGACATAATATATAGAGTTTTGATTTTAGATATATATGAAGGGATAATATAAAGCAATCTGTGTAGATTAAGTTTTTTAAATGTATGCAATATTTCTAATAGGTACAAGGACAAAGACATATTGTCTTCATGAAAACGTAACATATTCACTCTGAATATCTGCAACAGAAATGTAATTAGGTCACGTGAAGCATCTCAATACATTTCATTGCTCAGTCTCAATTGAACTCTAATTCTCTTCTGGAGGAAGATTAAAATGAAGGTGCCTTTTCTCTTTTTCCTGTTACAAAGATAAACTATTTCTATTTTCAGACTATAAACACAATCTAGGAACAACCTTCAAAGGAGTCAGCACTGATATGAAGAAAAAGGAAACCGAATTAAAAAGAAACAGAATAAAAGTACCTGTTCTGTATCAATGCATACTACTGCTACAAACACAAAACAAGAAAAAGGAGAAGCAAAGTATTGTATAAACTGTACTATTTTGATACATGTAAAAAAATGAGTTATCTTCAAAAACTGTTTCATGAATATTATGACATAAAGGCATTATAGAAAGAGCATTTATTTTTTTCCACAATGAAAATATCCTCCCCCCCCCATATCAGTGAAGCATATTCATTGTTAGAAGAAGGGGAGTGGAAGGAAGAACTTATTTATCTAAATATATTGGTAACTGTGAAAAATTTTAAAGTTGTAAAAGATATTTAAGGGAGAGAAGAGATATTTCCAATTCCTTTACTACAAATTTCTCCTTAGCTGATCCATGAGCTTAGCTTGGGAAGGAGAGAAAGGAAAAATAAACAGGGAAGGTCTTTTATTTCATTTTCTTCTCATTCAGTTATTCTTTCCTGGGCATCGAGACTTAGACCATTCTATCCTTTAACAGGAAGGTAGTTCTCCTACAGAGCAGAGAAGATTAAACCTGCTAAGCAGGCCAGCCAGCTAAGGCAAATAGTTCAGATTTTATTCTAAGGACAATGAAAGTCATTCCTACTGTTTGGATATGTTTAAATGTGTATCCCCAAAGGTTCACATGTTGAAAGGTTGATCCTCAGTGGCAATGATAGTGTAGAACCTTTAAGATGCAGGGCCTAGTGGGAGGTCCTTAGGTCAACTAGGGATATTTCCTACATAGGGAATGTGTGACCACAGTCTCCCTCTGGCTTTCTGTTTCAAGATGTGGTCCTTCCTCTTGCATTTTTTTCCCACTATTTATCATGGGGCCCTTGCTAGACCCTGGTGTTTGGACTTTCAGCTTCCAAAACTGTGAAATAATAAGCGAACTTCTTTTCTATATGAAGTAAGCCTGCCTCAGTATTTTGTTATAGTAATACGGAATTGACTAATACAGTCACCAATTGATTAAAGTGACAGGATGTGATATGTTTTAAAATGTCATTCTGGCTCCTGGGCACAAAATCAATTCTAAAAGGACCAGAATTGAGGGAAGTAGACCAGTAAGGAAACTATAACAATAGTTCAGATAAGAAGTGAGCATAATGAAGGTCAGAGGGGAAGGAGTAGAGATTGGGATAAACAAACAGATTTAGTTTATATTTTTTAAGGTAAAATTCTCTGACTGAATGTGATGATTAAGATGTGAGGAATCAAGACTATCTGCCATACTTAGTGTGTGAACAACTCAGTAGATGGAAGAAATGTTTACTGAGACAAGGTAGCAATAAAAGAACAGTATCTCAGGAACCAAGGGAAGAGTATTTTACTAGGAAGGAAGTGGTCAAGTGCTACTGAGGAATTCAAGTAAGATGAGGATTAGGCAACATACGACTCCATGGCAAGTGTAGTTCTATCTTAGCACAATTGAGGAAAGTCATAATACAGTGGGTTGAAGAATGAACAGAGGGTAAGGAAGTTGGTAAGTATTGACAATTCTTATGTTTTGTTTCTATTGTATGAAGATCAGAGGCATGAGGCTACAACAAAGGACAAAGCTGGGCAAGAGTAGTAAATGGTTGTATTTTGGTTAGATGGGAGTTACCAAAGCATGTTTGTTAATAAAAACCACTAGAAGAGAAGGAGAGACTCATGAACACGGATGGACAGGAGTTACATCACACATCAGCACCTCTATTTACATGTCAGTAAACATATTCACATGTTAGACAAAAGACCTCACTTCCAGGTTTTCTAGCTGTATTTTTATACTTACTGCAATGGATATGACAGAGTACCTAGCATATTGCAAAGATGACCACACAAACTGGGTTTTTAAGAACAGATAAATAAAATTTAACATAAAAATCTAAAATTATAATTACATATAATTATTAAAAAAAAAAACTTACCTCTCGTTTGTCTAATGCAGCATATTCAGCTTCTATTTCTTCAGCCTCGGGGTCCCTTGAGAACACCATCTGAGATTCCAGATTGAGGGCTAGATCTTTGTGGTGCTGCTTTTCAGCACAATCACAAGGAGTATCTTTATTTTCATTCTCAGCAAATAAGTCTCCTCCATGTTTTACTAAAAGCTAAAAAAACGTTTTTGTTCAAAAACTTGTAACCACAGATTAAGTAAGTTACTTCATGCCACACATTTAAAAAATAGGTATTTACATAGAAGTGCCTTCTGATTTTTAAGATTAGATATTCTTGTTTTTCAGTAACAAGTACCTTTAGTTAAAACAATAAACTTTAAAAAGAAATTCTTCAGCATCCTGTATAGTAAAGTATTACTTAAAAACAAAGAAGTTTATAGTTATTCAATTATTTAATGCCTTAAACTTAAATTTTTCTTACAAACCTTCCCCTCCTTTTCCTGGAAATCAGTTTGATTATGATCTCTAGGAGATTCCACACCCCTCCCCAAAAAAACCTTTTTGTAGTACAGGGTTTGAATTTAGGATGTCACACTTGACCTATGTCCCTAGCCCTTCAGGAGACCCCTGTGCACATACAAGTTTGAGAAGCAATGAACCTAGAGTACAACCACTGTGGCTAAGGAAACTGATATATATGCATCTATCTGTAAAGTTATTCTGTCAATACTGAGAACTTGTGGCAAGTCTATAGGCTGATACCAACTACAGGTTCTATTACTATTTTGGGGGCCTTTGTTTCATAGGATATCTAGTACCTAAACACAAAGCAAACTATGTGCTTCCGACTGCTGCATAACTAAGAGTGCTGGTTTTATTCTTTGGTTTGCTATTTAGGGTTGTAGAACATGATCTTTAAAACCCACACTGTGATAGTTTTCAAAGTCATGATTTGATTTACTCTCAGAACATATTACCACAAAGGAGATACTAAAAGTTAAGACAAATGAGTCAAGTCATCTTAACGCCCTAGTTCCTTAACAAAGATATAAAACTTCAGAAGTTTTGTTAGGGAAACCTTTTTTTTTTTTGGTACTAGGGGGTTGAACTCAAGATCTCACAGTTGAACTCAAGGCCTCATAGTTGCTAGGCAGGCATTCTAGCAGTTGAGCCTCACTCCCATTAAAGAAACCTTCTTAAAAGAAATGTATGAGAAATAACTGTTGACTCACTTGGGTGAGATTGCCAGGTAATCTGCTTTGCAAGCAGTCACCAAATGAGTTTGATTAAATGGGTGAAGGGACCCCAAAGACCTATATCTTGTTGCTGCAACTAGCCATCTGTAGAGAACCTCATCATCAGTGAAGGAATGGAAACGATATTTGCAGTACTTGTCTTTGTGATGAAAATCTGCTCACATGCTACATTTGTACAAAAACTAGGAAACAGAAATACTGCTAGACATTGGAGGGTAATATGTTAAACAGTACTTGAGTGTACTCACCTCTGAAGCATAAAATTAGGAACATCAGTAAGTGAAAGTTGTATAAGGTGGACATACCCATGAAAGTGTTGCTGCATCAAGTCAGTTGTTTTGCTTTGTCATAATAGGGAGTTATATATGGTTCTGAAGAGGTATTTTTAAAGTGCTTCAACCAAAGTACCCCAACTAAGTAAGTGTCAATTTCCTCACTCTCAAATAAGCTAAGGAGGACTGAATAGGAGGACCGAATATTTTATACAAATGTAATTTTTTTTAGCCTATCCCAAACACTTGGTGGTACATAAAATGTAGTATCTTTAAACAAACATCAAATCATCACTATATGAACACATGTTCTTCTATTCTGCCCTTCTTTCCACTCAGAATTCCACAGAAAGAGGGATAACCCATAGAATTCAAAACAAATCGCACTTCACCCTTTTGATCCATAATCTAAATACCTGGTGATGCTGGGCAAGACATCTGACTGTTTTAAGTCTCAGTTTATACAGTCTGTCTATAAAATGAGGCTTACATAACTGAGGAAAACTATCAAACAAGATGATTCTTTTTTGTCTTGTTTGTTTGTTTTTGGCAGGACAAGTGTTTGAAGTAAGGGCTTCGCACTTACTAAGCAGGTGCTCTACTGCTTGAGTCACACCTCCAGAGTAACAATGTCGTTCTTAAAGTCTGATCTATCACTTCACCATCTCTGTGTCCTGTATGAACTTGAACACTCCATCATTCTCTCCATCTCCTCCATTTTTACTATATGAGATCATGACACTGGAATTCTTTAGCTTAATATTGCTATCCTTCTATTACTTTCTTAATACAGCCTTGTACTGGATAATGACATTTTGGTGTGTACGTTCGAAGGAGATGCAAAAAGATTATGATGGAGCTGCAAAATTTCTATTGCTTGGTATGATCATGGCAGTTGTACAGCAATGCAGCACTCATGTTTGTGGTGATGCTGGTGTAAACAAATGTACTGCACTGCTATGAAACTATTGCACTTACAATCATGTACATTAGGCTGTAGTAGGCTATACCATCTAGATTTGCATAACCACTATAATGTTAACACAACAGAAAAACCACCTACTGACACATTTCTGAGAAGATAACCCTGTCACTAAGTGAAACACGACTCTACTTTCTTTCTCAGCCACATTTCTCAAACATGATTTGATACCCACTATCTCACTATTTCTTCAGCAAATGACTCAATTACTCCAAGAAATATGATTTGTATACTGATCGTTTTATAGAAATAATATTCTTGAAAGTCATCAACACCTTGTAACTCTCAAATGTACAAGTTTTTTTCAGTCCTTCAATTCCTTATCATTCTGTAGCATGTCACATGCCTGAGTACCCTCTTTTGCTTAAAATTCTTCTCTTGGCATCCTTGGCCCTCTTCTCTATTTTTTCTGCTTCCTTTGTTGGCTTCACTTCTTGTTCTCATTTTCTTCAATCATAGGAATTCTCTAAATTGATACGATGACTTAAATACTGTTATTTTATCTATAACCTAAAGTCTTTTCCTTGGATCTCACATTTATACATGATCTTGCTTTTAGTTATCAACCCTATATAACACTGAATTCCAAATCTATATTCTTTATTTTAAACTTCAATAGCCTGCCTAACATTCTGCATGTATAATCTAAGAACTTAATCTCTGTCCTAAATAAAAATTCAATAAATATTATCCCTTCCTTCCAACCAATCCCTTCAACACATCTCATTTTTCAAATGTCTGGTGATTGTTAGGCTTCCAAGTTACTTAGGTTCAAAACCATGTTCATTTTACTTAGAAATAAAATTAATTTTTTTACTCTATAGTAGTTAAAAGCAGATTATAGAAAATCAAAGAGAAAATTCCATCATTCAAAGATAGCTCATCATTGTCAACATTGACATTTTAAAGACACCATCATTTTAAACCTTTCTCTCCCTTGCTTTCTTATGTCAAGCAATGCTACCAATTCTTCTGAATGCCTCCTTTATTGACCTCATTCATTCCACAACCAATACTACCATACAAATCCAGAATTACAACAGTATTAGTGCAATAATCCCCTAGCTCCTATGACTTCCCCTAGTACACTGGTTCCCAACCTTGACTAGAGTGAACAGTAAGATCATCAAGAGAATTTTAAGAAACTTGTGCATGGGGTTTACCTTCAGAGATTTTGACTGAATTGGTATGAGGTTTCTGGTCAGCAATGGATAGAAGCACTGTTCTAGTGCAAGGTTTTCAAACTGTGTAAGATTCAACTGGGTAGCTTGATAGTATTATTAAGAGGACATGGAGCAGGGATTGTAAAGAGGATTTACAATTTTTACAAGTAATTCCAGTGCAGAGGGTGCCCAAAACTATAGTCTAAGCTAGTGCTTCTTAATAGCACTGGTATATAAGTATCCAATTCAAATCCACTCTACATTCGAATCATTTGCTTTTATATTTCTACTTCTCCAGTCAAATTATTTTAATGATTCAATTTTCTGGAAAAGAAACTCCCAAGCCCTTTATCCTGGCATTTAGTAGTTTTTTGATATTTGATATGGGCTCTGTCTTCCTTTTCAGTCAATTATCTTAGTATTAATCTATGAAATATTTTAACCTGCATATGCTTGAGAAGTGTTTTTCAAATTACCATACAAAGGAATCAGTAGAAGAATTTGCCAAAACGATCCTGGAAATTACCCCTAGAGATTTTGCTGTGGACTCTACAGACCCTGGTGAAACCAGCAGTTTGTATTTATACAAGTTCACAGAAATTACTGATGCTGCAGGTCCAAAATGTACATTTTCAGTATCTACCTCCAAATAAGTCCTCCAAATACTAAAATGTTACTACTACCTATAAGCCCTTCGAGAATTGTGAAATTAATGCCTTCAGTAGTCACTGTCTTAATATAGCCCTTAACACATCAATAGTATTTGGGAACAATGAGAACTTTTCTCTTTGGATTAAAAATAGACTACTGAGGCCCAGAAAGGAAGGTACTCAGTTGCTGAGCTGTATAAACGCTTCAATCTGATCTTTTAAAGTTTTGTTTTTTGGTTTTTTTTTTTTTTTTTTTTTTTGCTTTTCAATTAAGTATAAAATGATCTGAGAGGTGCCAAAGCGTCAAACAAGCTCTAAGACTATAAAGGGAAAAGTGTTTTGTTGTCTAATGATCTCTGTTTGATTTGACACTAAGCAGCTACACTTATAGCTCTGAATAAACCATTAGGGAGGAATATACAGGAAATACATATAACACTAATTTTTAAAAAGTGCTTTTCACAAAGAGTAAAGAACTATCAAAAACAGAGACCTGGCCAGGCACAGTGGGTTTGCACTGGTATCTGGGATTTGCAAGGCTGCAATCCCAGATACTAAGGAGGCAGAGATCAATAGGATCACAGTTAGAGGTCAGCCCAGGCAAAAAGTTACCAAAACTCCACCTCAACCATTAAGATGGATGTGGTGGCATGCACCTGCCATCCCAGGTACACAGAAGATGAAAATAGGAGTATCGATGCTCAGGTCACCCAGGGTAAAAATGTGAGACTCCATCTGAAAAATACAGCAAAAAAGATGCTGGAAGTGTGGCTCAAGTGGTAGAGCACTCGCCTAGCAAGAATAATACTCTGAGTTCAAACCAGAGTCAGGCCAAAACCAAAACAAACGAACAAAAAAACTCTGTCACGTCACTGAATTACAACTACAGG